GAAACTTTTTTGAAGAAAAAATGCACAAAGTTAAAATAAAAGTGTTTTATATTGGTTGGTGGAGTTAAAAAGAGGTTTTTGGCCTTTCTTGGTCCATCAAATTTTTTGTCCTTGTTCAGGGGAATTAAGTAGTAAGCAAAAACTACAATGTGTGTAGGACAAGCTGAACATGATATCCCATTTCCCATGTTAGACTTTCACCATCTACCCTTGATCAGATGTCTCGAATTCAAATTCTAGGTATAAAAAAAATACCAAAATGGAGCACGTCTCTTTTAAATGAGCCTTACACGGAATATTAGTTGGCGCGACAATATAAATAAGGATTCGTTATATGTATCTGGATATTAATCGGTGTCACAATATAAAGGGATTCTTTAAGACCGTGCAGGATCTAGTTTTAGAGGGTGTTTGGATTGCCTTTTGAGATGTCGAATCAAATTTTAAGCTCTTTTTAGCTTTTTTACCCCAATGTTTGGCCAAACTAAATCTGCTTAAAATAAGTTAAAAACAGCTTAAAACAAGCAAAAAGTAATAAACTGGGCAACCTCAACTTATTACTTTTTAACTTAAAAACTATTTATGCTGAAAAGTTACTTTTTTTAAGTCAATCCAAACGGGCTCTTTAGAGAATGAAAAAGGACTTAGATTGACTTGCCTATGCTCATAAATGGAAATTCCTCAATGAAACTTTGAATTAAATGTCAATAGATTTTTATTTATAAAAAAATGTCAATAAAATTGAAAATTTTCTAGTTATCAATTTCACCTCTCAAGCCAACTTTTTCTATACGAATCGATATTATTCCATTTCAAATCCTTCCTAATAAATCTAGAATAGTATACTCTATTGGATATAGGTCATCAAGTGAATGTAAGAAGCCTGCAGAAGTAATTTAAAGCATCTGCAGCAAAGAAGGAATTGTATAGGGATTATTAATATTTTGCTGCTGAAAGACATGGTATGATCTTTGACTCTACCTGAATGAATTTAATGAGTTGGTCACCTCAATTTACTACAGTCAACTCAATAGATTGACTTTTAGTATGAAAATTCTCTCTATTCTTTTTTGTAGTACTTTTGTTTTTTGTTTTTCCTTTTTACAAAATGTTGCAATAAATGTTAGTTTCTAATGCAATAGTATTGTCCTTTTCTTGTTGTACACTGCCAATAATTTAGTACTACTGACAGATATATCATCAGGTAGCTCGGAAAACTATTGCCACAAAGTAACAAAAAAAAAAGAGTTTTAAGTTATATACTTTGATAGTGTAAAGAATATTTTACACTATCAAATCAACCAAAAGATATCTATAACATTAGGACAACCTTAATATAAAATGGGATTTATAATATGAAAATAAGATATATTGTCTGCTACAAGAAGTTATAAAAAGTGTGGTGCTTATGTTTTCCTGAGTGGTTGGTCTATTAGAAACAACCTCTCTCTCTTCACAAAAGTAGGGGTAATTTCTACATACACACTATTCGCCCTAGACTCCATAGTGTGGGATAATATTGGATATGTTGTTGTTGTTACAAGAAATAAAAAGTAATCCGATAGTGTAAAAATTGTTTATACCGTCAGTGAATAGTAGTTGAACTCTTAGGGGTCGTTTGGTATGATGAATAAGCAAAATAATCTTGGGATAAAAATTTAATACCGTTTTATTCCTTGTTTGGTTACTAATCCTGGAAAAATTATTCCAAGATTAAAAATAGTACCCAAATAACTTATACCTGTTAGAGGATAGAATACTAATCCCAGGATAAAACAGTAAAATTGATAATCCCCATGATTAATACAATATACCAAAAAGTCAATAATAATACCAGAATAACTAATCACAACATAACTAATCTCAGTATAATTAATCATAACATGACTAATCTCAGCATAACTTGTGTTCAAACCAAACGACCCCTTAAACAAAGTAGTACTATAACATCTTAAGTCCAACTAGGTGTATTAGTTTAGACAGCTTGTTAGGTTTAATCCCCATTAATTCAAGATTTAAACCTAAATTATCAGCAGCTAGTGGAGAAACAAAAGTACAATCAAGGTTTCATTTTGCAGATTTGAAGACAAACTCTATATATGTAGTAATAACAGTATTTGATTGTTGTGCACATCAGTGGATATAACAATGCAGAACTAAAGTATTTCCGTCAATCCTCATTCTGTAAAATTTCTATGTATAAACTCAGAGGTACAGTAACTAGAATAGCAGAAAACTAGAGTCATTTAATCAGAACAACAAAAGAAATAAGGGTGAAAAATTGGATGGAACAAGTTTTCCCTCTAGTAAGATCAATATGTCAGTTCTTCTGCATACTTCTATTCAGCATATTATTGAATGCAACAGTATTTGTAATTTATTTCTTTTCACTGCTATGGTTGATATACATATTGAGTTTTCACTTGAGAAATTTACCGGCAATAGCAGGTAATTGTTTATAACAAACATAATCTAATAATCTGGAGAGTAGAGTAATTGAGTAAATTAAATAATATGTTATAACATGTTAAATTACATAACAACAACAACAAACAACAGTGGCGAAGACATGAATTTTACGAAGGATGTTCGAAATTTAATATATATTTTCAAAAAGTAATTTTTGACCTATATACGTTGTAGTATAACTTTTATATACTTAGTATAATTTTCCGATAAAGGGTGTTCACTCTATGTGGCTACTGAACAACAGACCCAGTGTAATTTCACAAGTGGGGTCTGAAGAGGGTAGTATATACGTAAACCTTACCCATACCTTTAGTAATGCAGAGAGGTTATTTCTGGAAGACCCTCGACAACATATTTAATTTACATCAATAATGTAAATATTCTTTGTGCTGTCAACGTAGATAACTTAAATCCAAAACTCATACTATTAAGCAATTGTTGTGTCAAAACAGAAAAATACAAGGAAAGGAAAGCTCGGTGCACAAGGTATCTTGTGTTCCCGTAGGGTTCAGGGAAGGGCCGTACCCCAATGGATGCGATGTAGACAACTTATCTTAATGCAAGCATCTATGGCTCGAACCCATGACCTATAGGTCATACAGAAACAACTTTACCGTTGCCCCAATTGTCTCCGTTCGTTCAGTTGTAAGTACTCTAAAATAGATATAAAACACAAAGAAAAGTTGCAAGCATTCCCAATACCCACTCATTTGAAATTTTTTATCACAAGGATGGCACATCTTACTCTAATTAATCAAGAAATTAAAGAGTGAAAGTTGCACATAAAGTTTCATTCAATATATTGTATCCTCTCTTATATATGTTGCTTATATTATTTTGAGCTATGTGTCTTTTACTTTGGCAATATAACAAGTTAACAACTCAATAATTAAGATACTGCAGGACGTTGAGGGTACAGAAAAAAGTCAATGTTAAATAATGTAGGGGACCTGACCCAGGCAATAAATATACCACAAGGAAACATTAATGTCTCTTCAATTCATAGGGTAGAAATTGCATTTGACTTGTTGAAACAAAGAGACTAGTTAGAAAATCTTGAAGTCCCACTCAAGCAATAATAAACCACGCATTAATACCACTCTGCTGTATAGATTTACTTCTTACAGCAGTTTGAATAAGAAGTGATCATGGAATATGAGACATATATTATATAAAAAGACAGCTCGGTGCATAAAGTATTCCGCGTTCATGCAAGGTTTGGGAAAGGGTCGCACCTTAATGAGTATTATATAAAGAGTCTACCATATTGCAAGCATTAGTGGTTGCTTTCACGATTCGCGTATATTATATACTAGGAAAAGATATATATCTGAGACATGTTCTATACTAGGAAAAATTAAGCTAGCTTAATTAGTGTTAGTTTGGGACAAAGATCAAACACAAATTGGATCTAAGTAACTAAATTACAAATAGAATTAGATAAAATCTAATCTTGATCATAAGTTACATAACAACCCTTAATTAACCAGCAATTTCCCATAGAAATTAAAATGACAAGCTAAACCTACAGCATGAAAAAGCCTTTATCTTGGTACATGCATTACTAGGAAAAATTAAGGTAGCTTAATTAGTGTTAGTTTGGGACAAAGATCAAACATAAGTTGGATCTGAGCAACTAAATTGCAAATAGGATTAGACCAAATCTAATCATGATCCTAAAATCTACGAATTTCAGCATGAAAAAGCCTTTTATTTTTTTTATTGTAGTCAGAGGCGAATTCAGGATTTAAACTTGATGGGTTCAATCATTAATGCTTTTAGCACGATCTTGTTACACTTTTGAAATAATGAGTTCAGAATACTATATTTTGTTAAATTTCAGTGTTTTCACACTATATGTGTGTGTGTATATATATATATATATATATATATATATATATATATATATATACACACACACATTCATGTTTCAAGTAAAAAATAATATGTTCAGTTGAATCCGTTCATAGCTAATTATAAGCTACATCCTCCCCTAGTTGACTTACATTAGCAAAATCCTTAGCTTAATTTAGTTTCCATCTGCATGAGCTTTGCAAAGTTTAAATTAATGGTCCCAAATCCAGGTTAAGGATAAGTTTTGCCGTAATTTGACAATCAAAGTAAATATAATCTAACTTTAATGAATCTTTTGAATAATAAATGGATCTAAGCAAAATGGAATATTCATATAGTTGTGCTTAACTAGTTTGAGATTGAGGCGTAATTAATTCGTCTTGAGTGTTCAAAGTTTATGAAGTTCAAAGTCTTCAATCATTTCTTACAGCTAAGCTACTAACAATATAGGAGGATATCCTATTCTGACAAAATTCAAAAATACTAGAGAAAAATCTCCAACTTTGAGAGCCGTGCTTGACCTAATTAAATCCACCTAGATATGTGAAAAAATGTACCGACTATAAACAAATGGTATAGTACTAGACTACTAGTAGTACATATTAAATCTGGAAACAGAAGAAATTAAAATATCCAATTTAATCAAAGATAATTTTTTTTATTAATTTTCAGCACACTGTCTTTCTACATTCAAGCAGCAAAGTTCAAAATACCAGACTTTGCCATATTCCATAAATCAACAAAAAAAAAGAGGAGAAAAAACAGGTTGTAACATAAGATATAGTAACACAATAAAATCTAGAGTATGAAATTACAGTTTATTCCAGTCCTAATGTCTGCAGGAGAAATGATTTTCTTGGTCCAGAAACTGAAATTGATACCTGGAATTGTCCAAATAAATTGAGCTAGTGTTGTTATTACCTGCAAATGGGATTTGTACCTCGTTTGTTGTTGTAGTACTGCAGCTGATGTTGGAATTTTTGTTGTCCCAATTTTCAAGAAATCCCATGTAACAATTGTCAAAATAATCTATATTGCCTCCTCTGACTCCACTATTCTGATAATCAAATATAGAACTAATTGAAGAACTTGTACCCCCTAAATAACTTTCCATGATCCCAACATTAGCAAATTTATTTTCAAGAGATTGAGAGTTTGACCCTAATTTATTGACATTTTTAGGGTTTGCCTCATACATTTCTTTGCCCTTTTTGTGGCCTTTGATCATCATTTTTCCTTTGGTGTTCTCCCTTGCCTTTGCTCTAGGCTTCTCCTTTAACTCCATTTTTCTCAATTTTCGATGATCTTCACATTCCAATATATGGGACTCACTCATTATGTTGTTTTGATCACCTATACTATTATTGATCTCTTGTGGTATGTTTCTTGAGAGCTCTTTGATGGCATTCTTGGACTTGGAAAATAACCATTCTATAGTTTTACTTGCCTTATCAAACCCTAACATGTCTTGTAGATCGAAGAATTTACGCGCTATTTGAAGTGATAATCTCATTCTTCGATCTCTCACACCTTGAGCTGTGCAAATCTTGCTATGCCTATCCTTTTTTCCTGTTCTCCTTCGAGGCTTTGCACTTAGTTTTCTCTTCTTTGATGATGGCGATACATGCTCAGCACTGGGATTTGAACTCTGGTCTTCTATGATTTTCACGTTAGCACGTCCAAATCTTGAAGTGTTAGGATCACCTTCAGTGTCATGATAGTGATCACTAGCCTCTAGCTCTTGTTGTTGTTGTTGTTGTTGATGGGAAAAGATTTGGCTTAATGGGGATTCATGTTCATCAAGAAATGGAGAAGGAAAGTTATTCAAGAAAAATGGATGATCTTCTACTATTATTGAAGTTGAACTAGGGTTTTGATGATAAGCATCATGTGTATAAGAATGTTTAAGCAATTCTTGTGAGGAGTAGGAAAAAGGGTCATTGATGTTGCTTTTGGGAAACATGTATAAGGTTTTTTAAGTAGCAAAGTGTCAAAAAGTTGGTCAATCAAGCTAGGGTTTTGGTTATATTTGCAAGTTATCAAGAAACTTTAGGTGATCTTTATTCCATAATATTGAATATGTATTTGGTGAGAGGAATAAAGCAGGAAAAGATGAAGTTGTAGGAGAGGGATAGGGTAGAGACTAGGGCTTGACTAATAACACATTTGAATGACTAAAGCAGTGGAGGAAGAAAGAAAGAAATGGAATGATGGTGGAAAAATAGTTGTGGAATCAGGAATAGATCATATTGGAAAGTGAGAAAAAAAGTTACCTATTTATATATGGGATTTTGTCAACAAATTAAATTTGGTTAGGGTATAAGGAATCTTTACACTATACTTTAACATATTCTAGCAGTTCAATTGCCTTAATTATTTTTCATATTACTAATCCCGCTTTTACAAACAGTTATCTTGTGATTACTTCGATAAGAGTAGATGACTTGAAAAATAAAAATTCTATTAAATATCATCATATAAAAATTAACCTCATTGAATTTAGCGTGAATGGTGAACTAGAAGTGATATATTTTATTTATATTCAAGTTATACTAAAGACATAAGAAAACTTTACGTAATAATATATATAATTTTTATCAAGTAATCAATTAAGTTTTCTCGTAAAAAATGTGTAAGTAATTTTATCGTGTAAATATTTTTTGTTTTGTCGACGCACTGAATTTAAACAATAAACCTTCTTTCTTTTTTTTTTCTTTTTTTTTTTGCTTTTAAGTTTTAGAGCAAGTGGATAAGAGAGTAGACTGAATGTGAGTATGTGAAACTGCCACGTGATAGCAGGTGAGATACTGATAGTAACTGGACCTAGCTCAGGCATGATGTAGGTGATTTTTTTGGGGGAAATTTACATAGTATTGTAGCGTCCAAATAATAGTCGATAAATATATATGTATATATACTATTTTTATTTTTTTATATACATAATTAGTATATATTTTTTTATGTATTTAATTGGCTGTGATTATTTTTGACTAACTAATATATTAAAAACCCTTTTTTTTTGTGGGCCTTTTGGATAGAGATCTAAGAAATTAGGGAGTAAAAGGGGGTAGATGTTGCCCAAACCTATTGGTATAGCTATGAAAGCTAAAGAGTGAAGGACAATTATTAAATCAAGCAATATCAAAACTTGTTTGCTTTTAGCACCTATGGAACTTTGAAGACCTTGCTCTTTGACTACCTGTCTATATGTCACTTTCACTTCTAAATCTCTTAAGTTTTCGACTAACACTAAGGTCTTTCTTGTTAGTTTTTGTAACCGTTCGACCTAGTGTTATTGTTCGCTCTGAACCTAGGTTCGCACAGTTTTAAAACGTATTAGAGTTTAACGCTTATTTACTTATATACCCAACATTTTTCTCGTATACATTTGATGTAAAATTCTCCTATCTCTTGAAGGAAAGGTTGATCATGTTTGTTTTGCCTTGTTGAGACCAAAATAATGAGGTGTCATGCGAAAGCTAGTAAAGCAAACCTTGAACGACGATAAATGCCTCAACAAAAGAGAAATCTACCAAGAGAAACTCAAATATTTAACGTGGTTCGGGCAATTGACCTACGTCCATGTCGGAGATGAGCAATCCACTCTATAAAAGAGAGTATAAAATATCGAGAGAACAACCTCACGAAGAGGCCAACATAAGTAACACACCAACACCTGTCCCGTAAAGTTCTCCCCTAAACACGACTCTCAAACCCCATATGGCTACATTGTGCTTGCTATTAAATGAAAAGGAAGGATCCTCAATTTATAGAAGTCCTAATATTTTCCTACAAGAAAACGGACTATCCAAATAGGGGAGATTTATAATTTCCTTCTATAAGAAAGAAAATCCAATTATGGTAAATGTGTTGTCTTTTACTTCGAGAGATAGGAAGAACAAATGTGGTAAGAAAATTAGAACAACACCTAACACTGGGGTATCACATACACCCCCTCTTAGCTAGGGACTCAGCATCCTCGCTGAGTTTTGCCATCATTGTTCAAGGTTATACGTGGATCTAATACCATATGTGACTGCCCGGCCCACTAGCGATGTTGCCCGCTTTGGACTTAGGCCCACAAAACTTTAAAATGTGTGTCTAGAGTCTAAGGCTTGTGTACTGATATACATAGTCTCTCCCGTATTTTGTCAATAAGTTCACCTAGGTGTCACAGTTTATTTAAAAAAGAATGATATAGTTTTATATTTATTTTAAAATAATTTAATACTCTCTCCATTCAATTTAGATGAGGTAGTTTGACTCGGCACAAAGTTTAAAAAAAGAAAAGAAGACTTTTAAAACTTGTAGTATTAAAAGCTTAAAGAGTAAAAACTTTGCAGAGCCATGACATTTGTGAGGTTATAAAGATTTTCATTAAGGGTAAAATAGGTAAAATAAAGAGTTTAAAGTTGAATTATTTCTAAATTTAGAAATGTATCATTTATTTTGGAACAGACTAAAAAGGATAATATCTCATCTAATTTGAAACAGAGGGAGTACAATTTTGTCTCGTAAATATAGCCACAAAAATTTATAGCATATTTAAGATCATAAATTCTAAAAAAATTCTTTCATTCTTAAACTCTTTGTCGAGTCAACTGCCACATAAAATAAGACGGATGGAGTACCTAACTAGCAAATTAAGATTGAACACAAGGTATGATCGGCACTAATCTTCCAAAATCAAAATTGTTTTGTACTGATCATCTAAAGAACCTAAAGACTACACGAGAACGAAAGTTTTTACAGTTTAAATGTTTAATCCATCCAATATACTATATACATTTCACTATAGGCTTTTCAATACATGCGAGGAAGAATTATTAGTTAAACATTCTTCATCGAAAAGCAATACTATATATACAAGTTTAATATTAATTTTTATACGTATATATTAATATCATTAGTAAAACTCCTAATTTCGTCACTACTTCAAAATGAGCGAGTGATGATGCTTCAAATCCACACAATTCGTTGCGCGTTCTTAAATCACCTAATATTAATTCTTAGATATTAATTGGGGTAGTGATTGAATTGCCTCATTATAAGAAATAAGAATTGCTTTTCAGAAGCAATAAATAAATCTAAAACAGTTAGACTGAAGAGTACGTTGTCCTCATAAAAAATCGTTTTCTCCTTGTCAAACTTTCTTAATTATGTAACTTAAATAGTTTTAATTTGTAGGACACAAAAATATATGAAACTTAAATACTTTTTAATGTGTGTAGGACCTCAAAAGTATATATCAATTGCTCTCAAGAAAGTATTATGCACGTTTGACCCGAGTTGTATAAGTTCAGATGAATGTATTTTTGTGTCGACTTCAAATTTTTCGCTTTTAAACCTAAAACAGTTCGAGGAGAATCGAGGATTTAAACCCTATGAGTTTAACTTTTATGATTTTTTAGCATGAAATTATTTATATTTTTAAAGTTATGAATTCATATCTACTATTTATTCTAATTTTAACCGATTTTATTTTATGTTCCGCGTTGAAACTTAGAAGTTCAATTGCACATGTACTTTTAATGCTACATTCGCCTCTGAAAACGGTTAGATGAACAATTGTACATAATAAAATTTCTAGGAAGATGTATATGATTCTGAGAAAACATATAAGGCTTATATAATGTGATTTCTATATATATATAAAGAAATCACATTATATGACACAAAATGAAAAAGATTGATTAAAACAGAATAAATCTTTCTTTTTTTGGTTCCCACCCGATGTCCGGTACTTGCATTGGAGCCCCATAATATTCGGATTCGCGAATCAATTAAAGCTTGTGGGTATTATCAAAAAGCTTTTCACTATGAAATTGCATTTTTTGTTTTGTTTTGTTAACAAGGGAACCTACAATTGTTATTCTAGGTACGCATATGATAAATATCGCTCTTATATAATAGACTGCAAAATCATACAGGAAGTTAATCTGCACTAGGTAAGCCTTGTGCGATGAGCTCGACCGAAGTTATGTAAGTGGATTTCGAACCTTAGATTTCTCATTTGGAAAGTCTTCGGCTCAACCAACGCGGTCACTCCGAAAAGTTGAAATATTGGACTTATAATGCAATATTGTAACAATTTTAATATCTTGTGAATTAGTCAAACGAGAAAAATAAATAATTCTCAAAACTTATGTATGGGACCTTAGAATCTCCCTAGATTGGCAAGAATTTGCAGAGACAAAAATGTAGGTGTCTCTGTGTGAGTTTGACAGAGAAAGATATTGACAGCCCTTAAATAAAATAGCTATAGGACCATATAAAATTAGGTTCTTTTTTTATTTATTAAATTTAATATAAGCTATTTATAACCACATGTTAGTATATTTTTCTCTTATATTCAATAGAGCTATGATACTCTTATGCACCGACCATAAAGTTTCTTGTACCCTATAGTCCAAATCAAACCCACGGGAAGAAATCATTAATTAGCAAATTAATTATCTTCTTACAAACCAAGAAATTGGTGCCAAAAAAATAAAAGGAATCAGATTAGCAAATTATGTTTAATTATCTTCTTAAATATTTTTTGTTTCGTTTACTAATGGTCGACTTGTTTAGTTGTTTAAATAAAAAAAATATGCACTTGTTTCTTGTGAAAGAATTTGTGCATCAACACCAAAATTACAAAGTATGACTAATTATTATAAACAACTTTGTAAAGGTATTCCTTTTTTTTGGCTAATATTGTAAAGGTATTCGATGTAGAAGAAGTTATAACTACCTCTCGCATGTGTAACTTGTTCATAAATTTCTATATGTGGATTGAGGGATTTTCTTTTTGGCTTTTATTTCCTTTTATGTTTTGTGTCAAAAAATTGAATTTAAAAAAAATAAATCCGAAGTGATTCGATGGGTTGAAGAGTGGATTATGACAGTCTAACCAGTGTATTCGGTGAGTTAATGACACAACTGATTGAAGTAAATAAAGAATCACAGCTTCACTTAAGAAGAATTAATACAAATAGCCGCCCGCATAATCTCTAAAATTAAAAATAGCCATTGGAGTATATAATATATATATATATATATATATATATATATATATATAAAATTCATGTATAACAAATTTAGCCGTATATTTGTGTAACAATTTTGTATATATCCTCTAATGCACTTTGATTATATTCGGAGTTTGAAAGAAATAAAGACGTTTAAAACTTATAGAGAAGCTTATAAGCTGG